TGTAAAGCACTTTGAGTGGGCATCAAGACTAGAGAAGTGCTATATAAATACCATTTTACTATGTCTCTAAAGTACCAAATGAACGTTGCTATGCTGCTCTGTTATGTCTGGACATTGAGTTATTTTGGTTTTATTTCTACACCGGTTTGAACAGTTGTGTGTCACTAATGGTGGAAGCAGACCATTTCTGACCATTTAGATAAAACTATGATATATGAACACATATATGTGCTGTGAATCTTGGATTTTGTTTGATGTATCCTTCGAATTATTCATGAGGACAAGATCTTTTCTAGCAGCCAAATCACAACAACCCCAAGTGAGTTACTGAGTGGAGACATATGATGATTGGTCACTGTAGTCTGTTGTGTTGTTTGGTTTCTGGTCTTGACACCCTTTTCTAAGGCAGGCCCACCACAGGTTGATCAGATCAGATGTCACGGACATACACCCAGGTCTCTTTAGCCTGTGGTGGGCCTACCTAAGAAGAGTGTGGCTGAAACACCTGTTGACGTTGAGGAACACAACTGAAGATATGTCTCTAACATCCCTGAGTGGTGGTGGTTGGAAAGAGAGGAGACCTTCAATCGTACAAGGGATATTCACTCTCTTGCGCTATATTCCAAACAAGGACCTGGGTGTGTGTCCCTAACATCTTCAGGGCCAGCTTGGTTCATTCCTCCTGTTTTAGAGCCATTGGATGCAGCATTCTGCAGTCTGTGATGTTTCTTGTGTGGTCTGGTACAGGACTTGTCTGTGGATTCCTAGATCTTTGAGCAAGCTGATAATGGATGTTGCAATAAAATCCCTGCAGGCAAACAATGAATGAGTCATCACTACAAGCAGAGGTTGCTGAATAAACAAAAGCTGTCAAATAAAGGTGAATGAGCATGACATGAATAATTCCAGTGTCACTGTAAACAAAAGAACACATCAAAAATGTATTTTTCTTTTGTGATAGGTTTTTATGTTTGTTTAAAAAACAACTTTCTGTGCAAATAAGAATTAAAGAGATGGACAATATTGCTGACTGCAAATTTTGTACAAATTAACTTCGTACATCAACTTCTTGTATTGGAATTAAGTTTTGGATCTGGTGTAGAAACCTAATATTAATATAATATAATAAATTAATACTAATAAGTCCAAACGTTTTTTTTTAACCAATTTTACTTTGTATGGAAATATATGATGATTTAATTTTCATTTATTTATTATTCTGGACTGCTTTTTGTAAGCCTCATTGGTAAACTTGATGTCCTCTCTGTGTTTGTCGTTGAAGAAAAATGAGGAGGAGCTCTGCAGGTTGATGCTGCAGAGAATGCGACAGATTGGAATGGGTAAATTGATTTGAAGGTCAAATGATCAAGAGCGAAGGTCGGCAGATAGAAAAAAGAAAGTGATAGACACATGATGTACAAAGAGAAGCAAAGAGAACAGAGGACAGAGGCTGGAGGAGGAATGGAGAGAAAGTGGATTAGAGCTGGAGTCTGGAGCATGTTGTGATAGAAGCCAGCACAGCCTGTGATGGTAAATCCTGCTCTCTTTGTTTCTCCTCTCTCTTACACACATGCATATTAATATTCACAAGTATACAAACACTCCCACTCCCACCCTTGACAGTGGCCCTGGGGATCGGTGTGTGGAAGTATTTGGAAATGGAGGGTGGCCAGTGATGCAATCGATTTCACACTTCCCTCCCTCTGGCCGGGTTCACTTCTTGTTCTTCATCCCACTCTGCCCTCCCTCCTTCTTCTTGTTGTCTGACAAACAAGGAGAATGTGAGGGCCCACTCACTGAGAGGGATGACCAAGTGAATGTGAACTGAGTAAAGGTCTGTTATTACCAGAAGCTCCTGTTTGGTAGATATTAACTGTGCTGGTATCTCTACATTAGATGAAGCTAGTACAATGCTAATGGACCTTTTGCTCAGCCTGTTGTGCTGCTGGTTGCAACTTTCTTGAGAAACTCTCATAGAAACAACTTCAATCTTCAAGAAAACATGAAACAATGAACAGAAAATGTAAAAAAGGTGAATAGGTGAATAATATCACCATAAAAGCAGCAGTAAATAATCCTGAGGGATCTTGGTGTCATTTCCAGTTTGCAAAGGTTACATAGAACCACAATGTTGCATAAAATTTTAAGTGATTGTTGCTAATTGAAGCATGTTCCACGTTTTAAAACAGTAAGCATGACTCATGCTGCTGTTTCTCATGTGTTTTCCCTTCAAGTCCTGCTGCTGTGATAAGACATTTCTAATCTGCAGATTTTACTGACCACTACATTGGTGACTCCCAGCTAAATTTTAGAGTTGGCAAATCCTAAAAAGAAGTGGTGATATAGGTCACTTGCCAAGAGCCTCAGCAATTGTTGTGTTTACAGTTCCATTCATGGACTCTTTGACTCTTTAACAAGAAGTTACACTATTCTGTTTTCTTTATCAGACTGGACATAACCACTATCATGCAGACTGGATGCTATCACAACTCAGAATCGGTTGGTATTGGTAGCACTACATGGGACTGGCCAGAGCTAGCTAATTACAGGGCTCCAGACTGTGACCATTTAGTTGCATTTTGTGACTATTTTGAGACAGTGCGACAAAGTTATAATATGCCCTCAGTTTTTTGTTAAAACCATCATTGTATAGGCTATAAAATAAATACCAGGAGTGGGATACAAATTTTGTGTGTGTGGAGGTGGAGGCTATACAGACACAGATACAGGCCCGGAGCCCCGCCCTCACTCACACGCAATGATCAGCGATCAGCAATTTTTCTTAACAGAGCCAGAGCGTCCATTTATTTATTGTGTTGGTTGTGTGTGTGGTTTATTTTATTTAGGATATTATATTTTTAATTCTAAATCAAATATCAGACTGAACTTTTCTTCAGGTCATTGAAAGGGTGTACTTGAATGATTATGCTCTAATATCATATATTATAGAGGTGCTGAGGATCGATCCACCGACCTTCTGGTTAGTGGTCAATTTCTACCTCCCGAACCACAGCCACCTATGTCTAGTTAGCAGGCCAGGTGAACTTTTTGTACACTGCATCAATGAATTTGTATTTATATTGTGGGATTTGGTAACATGTTGAGAAACAGAAGATTTTATGAATGTATAGATGATAAAATTAGGCCACAGATATGAATACATTTTGTACCAAGGCTATTCAATTCAATTTTATTTCTATAGCGCCAAATCATAATATACATTATCTCAAGGCACTTAACAAAGAATGTCAGTACCTTAAAATCATATTAAATATAGAGAAACCCAACAGTTCCCATTGGTTTGTGACATATGTAGGTAACATGAAGGGCACATGTAGCAGACATGTGGAAAACATGTCAGAAACATGAAGAGCACACTGGGCTTCGAAGAGCTTCTTACTTTAATAAAATCTCCTCTCCTCTCTAGGACTTCTCCCTTCAGGTGGAACACTGGTACGAAGGAGCGAATGCTGATCAAGGTGACAGACAGAGAGCCCAGTTTTTTGGCCCACCAAGGAAATGGTTACTCCCCCTGTGACCCCCCCACCCCTTGCGCTCCTTCTGGAGGGGGCACCACCTCACGAACACGGCGCTCCTCTGGAGGAAACCCACCCTCAGAGCCTGATGGCTCCCCTGTTCTCTATGCTGATCGCCGTCAGTCTCCCTTCTTGAAGCGTGCTGAGCTTGGCGGAACCGGCACCCACCGCCGCTCCTCAGCTGATTCCCAGCCTCCCTCGCCTCGCTATGCCTATGAACCCCCATTGTATGAGGAGCCGCCATCGGAGTACCAGCCCCCTCCTATCTACGAGGAGCCACCCACTGACATGCAGCTCTCTGACTCCTCTTCCTTCTATGGTACTGGCAAGTCACCAGCTCGCAAGTCTTCAGCCCCCCTCTATCACTCCCCCAAACAGGGCCAGTCGCCCTATGGCCAGCTGGTTCTGACCAGGCAAAAGTGTCCAGAAAAGACCCAAAGTCTGGAGTACAGTCCTGTGGGGAAGGAGTATGTTAAACAGCTGGTCTACGTGGAGCAGTCATCTTCCAGTCCTCGCTTCAAGACTGCTGACCGCCTGCTCCGTTATGGCACTACTGGGGGCTATGGTGGCTCATATGGGGGGTCCTATACTCTGCAGCACAGCCAGTCTCTGATCAGGGACCCCCGCCTACTGCTGGATTACAGTGGGGAGGGTGGAGAGGGAGGTCAGAGGTTGCTTTATGAGGACTCCATATCCTGGACGACCGGCCAGACCCACTCCCTATCCTCTTCCTCCACAGGTGGTCCTGGGGCTTTCTCTCCAGCAGGAAACCGCAAACGCAAGAGTCGAAAGCCATCCCTCCCTCAGGAGTTGGCATACTGTGGGGGCCCAGAGGGGGAGCTAACAGGCACAGCATCTGAAGCGATGCTAGCCCAGGCAAGGCTTGCATGGGAGGCCCAGCAGGTGATGAAACAGAGAAGCAGTTGGGACTCAGGCCAGGGAGGTGGGGTTGCCCAAGGTGGTAGCTCCAAAGATGGTTATGAGAGCGATGGGGCGGTTCCTATGCCATTACCGGGGCCAGTGGTGAGGGCATTCAGCGAGGATGAGGCACTAGCACAGAGTGACAGCCACCACTGGAAACGCAGCACCTTTGACCGGCTAGGCTTCCCCCAGGCCCTGCTGGAGAAAAGCCTCTCTGTCCAGACCAACCTGGCCTCTCCTGAGCCTTATCTCCACCCATCACAGGTACTACTCATGGTCAGAGTCAATATGAAGGATAATTCCAGTTGCTTACAACTTGTTTTTATCACTAGTTGTCATTTCTGTCAGTTTACAGCCAAACTGATCATAAGACTGCTCGTAACTCTTATAGGACTTTGTTGTGTTGATGTCTTCATGTTGTTAGACCTCAGCAGTTACTTTGATGAGTGACAGTGTAATTATTATAACTAATACAGATTTGATAAATAGTATTTATAATGATCAATATCCGTTAGGCAATGAAAGCAGCTGATCAGCCACACACACAGCAGAAAGCTGTGTATGCTTCATGCTGCTTTTGTGACAGTCACTGAATAAATGTGATTATTGCACATTGTGTTATAGTTAACCACCATCATTCTGTTCACATCGGTGAAGGTTAGCAATATCCAAAATAAAATTCACTCATTATCCACTCACCAATATGCCAATGGAGGGGTGGGAGAAGTGTTTGAGTCCACAGAACAGTGTTGCAGCCAAATCCAATACAATTAAAGTAAATGATGCTGTTTTGAATTTAATATGAATGTCGGGGCTTACGGGCACTTGGATGACGGCACACGAGCAGTATGGAGGCACGTTATGTTTTATTACGTCTAAAGAAGGGGTCACCTTGGCTGCTCACCCCTGAAACTGCTGTTTTGTGGACTCAGACGCTGCACCCACCCCTCCATCGGGACAGTGGTGAGTAGATAATGAGTATATTTAAATTTTTCAGTGAACTATCTCTTTAAAATAAAGGATAGTGTGATTCTACTATGTTAACCTCTCAATCTAGCCATGCAGCTAATAATTATCAAAGATTCTTGTAACCATGATGTTCACGTCTTGCTTTGAATAACTGTTTCTTTGTCAATATATTTTGTTGATCCTGTTACTTTTGCTTGTTTACTCAGTCAGACACTGAGGAACAAATGAACTCTTTGTTGCACTGAAATGACCTTGTGGCGTATTAGCACGTCAGTATAATCCTGGGCAGCTCTCTCTCAGTGCTGAAGAAATGTTCAGCTCTTTGCTCTCCCTCTCCATCTTTCTTCCTCTCTCTGTTTGCTCACCTGTCAGTCGGAGGACCTCGGAGCCTGTGCCCAGTTTGAGGCCAGTCGAAATGCCAGGAATATGATGCCGAGTGCCAGCTGCGGCATCTTCCCAGAATTTACCCTGAGGAAGCCCTCCTCTGAGACTGACATCGAGAACTGGGCATCTAAGCACTTCAACAAACACACACAGGTACTGAGGGGAATGTGTGTGTCTGACTGTGATATGTGTGTATGACATCATGTAGATGACAATTTACCTGTCTCTTTGTCCATCAGTGATGTCACGACCATATTTCTTACTTTACTATGCATATCAGTTTCAGCTCATATGTCACTCACACACACACGCACATGCACATACACACACACACACACACACGCTGTAAAAATTTACTTTTTCATGACAGACATTAAAAAAAACACTTGTCCAATTATAACGAGTCACTGTTAATGTCTTTTGTGGGCTAACACTGTTAGTGAGAAACTCTGATCAGCTGAATTAGCTACTGAAAGAGTTAAGCTTTATCCTTTTTCATATTTCAAAGTCCACTCTGTCTGTTAATGCCAGGAAATGTGCTCAAAAGCTTCAGCAGCAAACAAGTACAGATTTGTACTGACATTTTGATCAAACAGGAGAAAAGACAGGCATGTGAAAAATGTAAGGAAAAATAAACAAGTGAGAAACTTAACACGAGCAATTCTTCACTGTAATCTGTACTAGTGGTTGAATGTGTTTTTGGTGTACAGTAGGGCTTTCAATATTCCTCTTAAATTCCATTTGAATTTCATTCCTTATTTATTTTAATATAAAAATTATATATCATATTATATATTATTATATTACAAATAGTATTAGCCAAACCAGATTAGCGATGCACTGCACATGTACCCAGTTTGTCCCCAGGCTTTATGTTTTTATGTGGGGGTAGGCAAGATGGTGTGCGAGCCTCTGAGCCAAAATACAAATTTCCACCTTGGTGGACAATAAAGATTCATTCCATTCTAACTAGCACATTGCACATTGTAAACCTGCCTGTTTGGAATGGGCTGTTTGCTTTGCCTGTGGTAATGCTCAGGAGCTACTTCAGAATTATTCCACTGCAAATCAACACACAGTTGTTCTGAATGATCACCTCTATCCTATGATGGAACAGAGATCTTTAAAAAATGTTATTTGGAACCAAATTGGTGGAACGTTGCATTACAGTGAACGGGATCACAGAACAATCTCAACAAAGAAACCAAAGAATCTAAAACAAACATTCTGTAAAAAATTAAAGCCAATATGTTTAGGAAACATTTTTTTGTTCTGTTTTGTTGTGACAGGTAAATCATTTTTATAAGCTTCTTTGAATGGTCTAAAATGGATTGTAACTTAGGAACTAATAGAGGGATGTGAGGGGCTGTGCTGGCCTGCAGCTTTTTACATTTTTTATTTTATTGAATTATTTGCTTTGTTGATAAATGTCTTGTGAAAGAGGGGCAGGTATATACAATTGTTCTTATTTCTGCTCCTTTTCATTCAAGATTTGAAATTTTGTGTTTGCATTCAAATTGTTTTGTTTGGTCGATAAATGAAATAATAAGGTTATATTAATTAATTAATTAAAAACTATCCTGAGGAAGGGTCTCTGCTATGGGGCACTGAAGATGTTCTTGTAGCTCAACATCTCACTGAGACACTTTGTATTCAACTATGAATACTATTCAAACGTTTCTTCATGTTCAGGCCCTGAAGAATGAGAAGATGCAGTTTGTCTACATTTTAAGCAAATAAAAGACAATCATGTAAGCATCTTTAATCAGTATCTCTCCATGTTGCTAACTCTCTCTCTCTCTTTCTTTCCTTCCCATGCTTGTTTTCTCAGGGTCTGTTTAGAAGAAAAGTTTCCATTGCCAATATGCTGGCCTGGAGCAGTGAGCCCATCAAGAAGCCAATGATTGTGACCTCAGATCGCACAGTTAAGAAGGAGGCAGTGGACATTTTTAAGCTCATCCAAACCTACATGGGGGACCGTCGCTCAAAGGTTGACCCCCTCTCTGTGGCTCTGGAGGTGAGTGGACAGCCTGAGTCAGTGCTCACAGTGTAAACCTGCAGGTATCCCCTCCTCAAATCCATTTAGCCATGCACAGCAGTGTAACACTAGGACTCCAGACCTAGATAGTAGAAACACCTTGATGAAGTAAAGATGTATGCATTGGCTGCATATTACAAACTACAACAAGATGACTTGATGGTACTTCCTCTTTTCAGCACTGCTGAAGTGTGAAGTGAGGCTTCACACTGTGAAGTCGTGTGTCCTTGTTCACGGTGTGACTTTGAGAGGAAGCTTTTAAAACAGCAGGGGCCTCATTTATAAAACTGTGAAGCGCAGCCACTCCAAAAGTTGTGCATGTGCAATATGCATACAAAAAGCAAAAATTGTGTCACGAAAAATGACTTACAAATCCCAGTCACTAAGCAGTTGTTAATGCAAGTCAGTGCAATTCACAGGGTGATTTCTAAAGGTTAACGAAGTTAGATGTGGAGGTGTGCCACTATGGACTGATGGAGGCACAGGGACACTGAAGCTCACTAATTTGTATTTTTTTGAGCATCTATGTAGACACACCCACGCACAACGTTCTCTAACACTATAATGACATTTTATTATATATTATACAATTTTTAATGATACTCCCATTGGTAGGTTCCACCAGGGATGTGGTAATAAGCCAGTGACTGTTGCTCAGCTATAAGACAGAAATGGTTAATGTTCATCATGTAGGGTTTAGGAGGCTCTAGCAACAGAAATGGAATTTAAATACTAATAATGTTGAATAAACTAAGAATCCCACTTTTTAAGTTACCTTAGAACAAGACTTTTATCACTGCTTCAAACCAAACACTGGCTGTAGAGAGGAACACAAGTATTTTTATGTCTCCTCAAGGGGGGGAATGAGGGGAGGGGTATGCAGTTGGTTGAAATCTGCAACTTCACCACTAGAAGTGGTGGTAGGAAGTCTGTATCGTTTAAAATGAAAAGATGCTTACAGAATAACTGGTGGCTGACTGCAAGCACAAACATATGCAACAACACTGGCCTGAAAGTTAATGATAAAGGAGATGTATTTGGTTATGTTTGACATTAAATCATAATATCAATAAAAACATTTATGAAATATAATAATAATTATTATTTTATTTATACAGTACCTTTAAAAAACAGTAACTTAAAAACTTTTACAGACAGTTCAAGATACATGCAGGCAACCAAAAAAAGCATTCACACAAATAAAAGCAATAAGAAGACAGCACCACATAAAAGCAAATCAAAAGAATAAAACATGAGAATTTGAAAAGACACATAAAACAAGTCTTTATGCCAAATATGTGACATGATGATCAAAATGAACTACCAAGAATAAGTGAAAGGTGAGACAATATCTACACAAGCCTTCACAGTCAAAGCAGCACATTAGCGGATTAGAAGCAATTTCATCACATAATCACTGTGGTTACTGTTTCCTAAATATTCAAAGTTGGAGTCAATAACGAAAGTTGGGATTTTTCATGTATGAAGAGACAGTTATCAACAGATGAGGGAAAGCTACATCTCTTAACTCACTGGCTCTATGACTCTCTCTGCCTTTCTATATCAGGTGGTGGTGCGTGGGTGGAGTAACCAGGGCCTGCGTGATGAGCTTTACATCCAGCTTTGTCGTCAAACCACAGAGAACTTCCGCTATGATAGCCTGGAACGAGGCTGGGAGCTGATGGCCATCTCTCTGGCCTTTTTCCCTCCCACGCCCCGCTTCCACAACTACCTGGAGGGCTACATCTACCGGCACATGGACCCACTCAACGACACCAAGGGTGAGAGAGCAACAATCTCTTCTTCTCAATTCTCAAAATTTTTCCTAAAGCTTATTTTTCCCAGATGTTGATTCCTAAACAGAATGTCTCCTGGGATGTAATATGGTTTTGCTGTGGTATTTAATGCTTCCTAGAGGATGAGCTAGTGATTTGGTTGAATCTCTAAACTTGAATCATCAGACCCAAATTGCTCCTGAGAGAATTGATTTGCGCTATAGACTTCACTTTACGCAACCATTGGGACAAATAATACATTTTTAGTCTCACGAGCCAACAAAGTCATCAGCATTGTTAAGCCTTCCTCCTAAAAATTGTGTTTGCTGCAAGGTATATTCCACACAAACATTTGGATGGATAGTTAGTGCACAAAGACACCTGTCTCCTCTTTTGTCCCATGAGAGCTTAGGCCTTATTGTTTAAGGTGAGGAAATTAGGGGTGTGGTTAAATATTGAGACAATAGGCAGAATTGACCTAATCTTATACGAGCTGCTCTACATGTTTGATATTAGTTTTTTTAAGTGAAAACTCTCACTAGAGTGTATTTTCTGATCAAAACTACATTTTAACAACTAGACACCACTTATTTAATTGAAGTTGTCACACCAGAGGTTCACTAATGCATTTCCACAGATTCTGCATTCATTTTGAAATTGTTTCTAAGGGTTTTGTAAATGTGGAGAACATTGATCTGAAGTGCACTTATTACAGGTTTTGGGAAAGTCCAATATGAAATAGATAAGAGTGAAACTGATAATCTTATTCTAAAGAGAGAATCAATAATCTTTAAACCTAGATCCTGTGTAAATTGGAGCTGCTGTAGAAAGCTCTGCGTTGAAGCCCAACATGTCAGCAGGAGGCGCAATAGGAGACATCAGCATTGGCAGTATAATAATAAAAACACTCTTAAGACTATTTCAGAGTTGTTCCTGTTTCTCTTCTGCTTTTAAATGTCAGAATACAGATGTACTTGTACTCTGCTGCCCCCCATAGGTGACTCAGTCAGTGCACATGTAGGACAAATGCCTGTCAGGTTGCCCTTGACAGACATTGAGGGAGCGTTAAGCATATATTTCCTAATAACACATTGTATTTCATGTTATGAAAATTGGCATGATAAAATACAAGCAGACTATCATTGTGTATTTTGTATAAGTATATATATATATATATATATATAAGTGATTTTTCTCTTACAGTGTGTCTTTTTTAAATTTAATATTGAACCTTTTTCTGTTTCGTAAAGGGGTAGATGATAATAAACTGGTGCTAGTAAGGTTTTTGTTTCCATAGTAATTTATCAGTAAAGCTACTTTGTAGTGTACTTTGTTTTAGAATATCCTGCAAATCTGACTGTTCTAATGGAATAAATCTGGATTACTTTATAATCTGGCATCATGAAAATTAAATCCTCGTGGCCTCCACTCCTCTGAAGCTTTTAATATGTCTCTGACCCTGTCCCTCTTATTCCACGCTCCTGAGCTAAATAAAATAGTTTCAGCTCAAAAAAGTATATACAACACTGGAAATCTCCCAATGTTGTAAATATGTCTTCTATCATCTGTTTCTCCAGGAGTGGCCATCAGCAGCTACGCTAAATACTGTTACAGGAAACTGACTAAAGCTGCACTGACTGGAGCCAAGAAGGTAAGAAGCTTTGTCTATCTTTATGTTGTCAAACTGGATTCACCTTCCCACAAAATATGTCCGGGGATTTTTTGGGGTTTTCTTATTGTGTGTGCCTCTTTGGACCTTCTGACTTGTCTAAGTAGTTTGTGGCTCTTAGCATCAAGCTCACCTATTAAAGATGTAAATCTATAAAGAAAACAAACACCTCACAAATATACAGGTTCATTTGAAAACAAATCTCATTTGATTTTCTGAATGTAATTTTCTGCAAATGTACAGTAAGTCAAACAGTTTAGAAGTAGAGACTATTTTCACCAGTGAATTAATCCCCATCTGTTTATATAACACTGCAAAGGATTCATTCTAAAAAATATACATTTGCACATAACCAGAAAATGTTATACACAAAATAATCTGATTGATAAAACATACACATACCTTTCCATTATGTTTAAAACTGTTTCTTCTAATCAGTGTTGTAAATATTGTTATTTTGTTGGTGTGTACTTCCACTACACGCAACATCTATTGCACTTCTGTCCATCCTAGGAGAGGGATCCATCACAAGTGGCTCTCTCTGAGGTTTCTACATTTTCCCACCCGTGTTAAACGGGAGTAAGGGTCTTACTCTTGTTCAGGGTTAAGAGCAGAGGATGTCCCACCTGAAAATGGAAGTTTGAAGTTGAATAAAGTTTGTTAATTTTTTACTGGTCTTTAGTGCAGCAGACAGCACAGTCATCCTCACTGCAGTGAATTTACACAGAAAAACATATTAAAACTAGAGTCAATCGTACCAATTGCTCGGTTCTGCAAGTGTTTTTATTTATGGTAGCTTTGTGTAATGTTCTTGTGGGCGGCTGTGGCAGAGAGGCAGAGCAGTCATCATTCAACCAGTAGGTCAGCAGTCCGATACCAATCTTCCACATCTGTATGCCGAAGTGTCCTTGGGCAAGATGCTGAACTCTGAATTGCCCCTTATTAGAAAAAAAAGTGCTGCACTATATGAATGTGTGTGAATAGGTGACTGGCTTACTGTAAAGCACCCGTGGTCATCAACAACACTAGAAAAGCGCTATTTAAATACAAAACATTTACCATTTAAATTAACATATATTTTACAATTGAATTTTCTTTTGGAACAGTGATGTTGTAAAAGCACAAATTAGACCACTGGTTTAATGTTTATGATAAAGTAAATTCACCACCTCATGTCTGCATCGCCATTCTCTGGTGACGTTTTTAGACTTTTGAGTGGGAAATAGTATACGCTTCTTTCAGAACCTGTTTTGTGCCCCTAGTGTCCTAATGAGTGTTTCTGGCAGCAGAACAACAATTTGAGATGGGCTCAGTAAGATCAGCTTATTTATGGTTTGAGAAATGCAGAATATCCACAGACTTTTCCACAGAAGGAACCTGGGCTCATATTTCCAGATATAGGTTTTAATTGTTGAGGGTGTGATGTCATGTCCAAACATGCAAATATATAAATATATGTGTTATTATTAGGGTTGCAAAAGAGCGGAACCTTTCCGGTAAATTTCCGGAAACTTTCCATGGGAAGTTAAGGTGGGGAATTTTGGAAATATTCCAAATTGGAAACTTTCCATGAGAATTATGGGAATTTATGGGAATTTATGGGAATTATTGGGAATTTATGGGAATTAACTGTAAATTGGGGGTAATTTAAACAAACTGGATCATATCCAAATATAAATGTAAATATTTTTGTTTTGTCATAAGCAGACATCCATGCAAAATAATAC